CTAAATGGGAGATAATTTAGTGAAATAAATAAAACATTGGTTATGATATTTTAGATAATAAAAGTGCAACAGGATAACTGAAATTTTACACATGCACAATTCAATGTTAATCAGAAAATGTGAAAAAATACAGCAATCAACATTGAAGAAGAAGAAGTGTTTGTGTGACAGTTATTTTATTCAAAGAATACTAAATGAAATACATGTATATTTGTGTATACATAGAGAGGGAGAGGGTGAGTGAGTGAGTGAGTGAGTCAAATTCTAATGAAACATATGTCAGAGGCTGTAGAGATATATAACACATGACTGTGTAAAACATTTTCTTAAAATAGTAGTCAAATTAACTTTAGATATACTCCTTATAGGATTCAGAATGTATAAGAGTTCTGAATTGGTTAAATTTGTCACTTAAATAGGCTACTTGAGACTAATCAATTGCAGACCTATACAACAATGGGAACATCAAAATGCTAAACAATATATGTGAATTGATATTAAGTGGTACTTGGTTTAGATATATCTTAAATAACTCTCAGTCTACTGTAACTCGCACACAAACCGAAATCTATACAACTAATTGAATCACACTTTTGAATACAAGGTAGGTGGCTTGTGTATTTGACGTGTAAATAGTGAGATGAAATTGCCAGTCCACTTCAGTCAATTCAGTGAAGGCACTAACAGTGTTACAGATGAAGTATTGACAATTGCACAGTACCATATCATATTCTAGTAGTTAAATCAAGTAGTTCACAGTCAGTGTTTGATGTAGTGCGACAGTCATTTTAACCCATTCATACGTCATTGTTTCAATTACGACGAAGTCGACTACACTAGTTCTAGATTAACACTACTACTTCAAGTGATTCACTTCAACACGTATCAGTTATCAATCATGCATCATCTGACATCAATTCGCAACAAACTTATCTTGCAAAGTATTTTATAAACGTCAATAAAATTTTGGCTTATTTTACCAACTTATTTCAAATGAAAACAGATCACGTGATAGTTTGTTGATCCTTTCGGAGGAGAGATATTTCTGTCGTTTCCAAATCCTACGTTGATTTGCTTCATCAGGGAAAAAATAGCCAGTTCACAATAGTGGATAATAATGTAGCAATAACATGGATCCGAGATTTATCTATACATATGAAGAAGTCACAACTGTCAAATAAACTCACGTTTTTGTTTTTCACTATGTCGGTAATCAAAAACACGATAGTAAAATAGTCAATGACAAAATTCACAATTAAGAATTGTAGTCAAATTTGAATGGAGGTAAATGTCTACATTTGCAGTTGTCGAATATAAGGATTGTAACTGGTTGTTGTTTATTGGCAACTGTACTTTTTAATTCGGTTACCTCAGTTTTACTTTCTCATAAGATCTTTATGTTGTTCATTTAATTGACAATCACTAATGAGTAGACAATTTTTAATTTTTTAGGTGGTATTAAGACAATTTATTATCAGTTTAAAATTACATTGATGTAACTCTGATGTTCTGGTTAGCGTTTTTTAGCGAGTTAGTTTTCTACGGTATGGGGTCGCTAACCCCATGCTCAACCCTCCTCCTTTATCCGGGCTTGGGACCGGCAGTAGCCCTCGGAGGGGGACTACGCGGAGTTAGATAGTCAACATCATACAGAATTCCTATGATGGATTAAACTGCAAAATCGTTCATGGAGGACAGTTGACAAAGTCGTTCGAAGTGAAGACCGGTGTTAGGCAAGTTTGCTTACTCTCACCATTTCTCTTTCTCCTGGTGATCGACTGGATCATGAAGATGTCAACATCTTGTGGGAAGCACGGAATACAGTGAACAGCTAAGAAGCAACTAGACGATCTAGATTTCCCAAATGATCTGGCTCTTCTATCGCACATGCAACAATAAATGCAGAAGAAAACAACCAGTGTAGCAGCAGTCTCGGCAGCAGTAGGTCTCAATATACACAAAGGAAAAGTAAGATTCCCCGATACAACACAGCATGCACCAATCCAATCACAATTGACGGAGAGGATTTGGAAGATGTAAAAGCCCTTACATATCTGGGAAGCACCATTGATAAACACGGTGGATCTGATGCAGATGTGAAAGCGCGGATCGGTAAAGCAAAAGCAGTATATTTACAACTGAAGAACATATGGAATTCAAAACAACTGTCAACCAACACCAGAGTCAGGATTTTCAATACGAATGTCAAGATAGTTTCACTGTATGGAGCGGAAACACTGAGAACTACGAAAGCCACCATCCAGAAGATACAGGTGTTTATTAACAGTTGTCTATGCAAAATACTTCGGATCTGGTGTTCAGACACTATCAGCAACATCCTACTATGGGAGAGAACAAACCAGATTCCAGTGGAGGAAGAAATCTGGAAGAGGCATTGGGAGTGGATAGGACACACATTGAGGAAAGCACATAACTGCGTCACAAGACAAGCCCTCACCTGGAATCCCCAATGCCAGTGGAGAAGAGGAAGACCAAAGAACACATTACGCCGGGAAATGGAGATAGACATGAGAAAAATGAACAAGAAAAGAAGGCCCAGGACATAGTGGGTTGGAGAATGCTGGTCGGCGGCCAATCCTCCATTTCGAGTAACAGGCGTAAGTAAGTAAGTAACTCTGATGTTAATTTACACATTTTTAACGAATCACAAACTAGAACAAACTAAACTTTCATCGAACTTTTCATCGAATATCAGTTTGTAGGGAAAAAATGTTTTGATATGACAACCTAATCATTAATTGACACTTGTTGATTTACAAAATATGCAAATTATTTATATATAAGAAATTACCATAATTTGGCTTAAGAAAATGTATTTAATATATGACAATCAATATATTATCACTGGGCATGATATAATCAACATATTTTTATCAATATTTTCATTTCTTTTCTAATCAATACATATCTCATTTTTGGGATGATTCTAAACTGAATTCTTTGAATAATTTATGTTTGAATATACAACTATATAACTTTAGTAAGAGTTATAGAATCATGCTTCTTTTAGGAACCAGATTCAATCATTTTTCTTGATGACGCCATGTTTTTTCGCTATTTAATAAATTTAGGGAGAAAAAAACAGTTGTTACTGGCTCAAACATTTAGAAAGCTATTTAATGTATGAAATGAATTATGTACCATATTTTTCAATGTATGGAAAAGGAAAATTCATATATAGTACCTACTTATCATGGGTATGTATTGTTCAACAGACCAATAAATTCTTAAGATACAAATCAATAGGAGGGTTTCATAAACATTTGACACTTCACATCATAGACTATAGATGAAATTTAAACAACCCTCTCTTCTAGTTTGTTTATTTTTCAGAAAGGTATTTTCAAAACTAGTACGTTTTCTACATATTGTTTATTTTGATGAATATTACATATGTTATTGGTCATAGTTTACGTTAATATTGTACAATGTTTGTATATTAACATATTGTTAGAATTCGAAACAATTCAGGAAGAAAATTTTATTACTAATATTGTCATTTAAACATTCTACACAATTGTATCTTACTTACTTACTTACTAACGCCTGTTACTCCTCATGAAGGAGCATAGGCCGCTCACCAGCATTCTCTATCCAACCCTGTCCTAGACTATCCTTTCCAGCTCCTTACAGTTGTTATTCATCCTTTCCATATCTGCTTTTATTTCCCGACATAATGTGTTCTTTCGCCTTCCTCTTTTCCGCTTCCCTTCAGGATTCCGAGTTAGGGCTTGTCTCGTGATGCAGTTTGACGATTTGCGAAGTGTATGTTCTATCCATTTCCATCGTCTTTTCCTAATTTCTTCTTCAGCTCGAAGCTGATTTGTTCTCTCCCACAAAAGGCTGTTGCTGATGGTATCCGGCCAATGGATGTTGAGTATCCTGCGAAGACAGCTATTTATAAATACTTGTACTTTCTTGATGGTGGTTGTTGTAGTTCTCCAAGTTTCAGCTCCGTACAGTAGATTTGCCTTGACATTCGTATTGAAGATTCTCACTTTGATATTGGTTGACAGTTGTTTTGAGTTCCATATGTTCTTTAATTGTAGGAATGCGGACGTTTCTTTGCCAGTTCTCGCCTTTACGTCTGCATCTGAACCTCCTTGTTCATCGATGATGCTTCCCAGGTATGTGAAGGATTCTACATCTTCCAGAGTTTCGCCATCAAGAGTGATTGCATTGCTGTTCTCCGCTTTGAATTTGAGGACCTTGGTTTTTCCTTTGTGTATACTGAGGCCTACTGATGCAGAAACTGCTGCTACACTGGTTGTCTTTGTCTGCATCTGTTCGTGTGTATGCGATAGGAGGGCTAGGTCATCTGCGAAGTCCAAATCGTCTAATTGATTTTGAGCTGTCCATTGTATTCCGTGTTTTCCTTCAGATGTTGAGGTCTTCATAATCCAGTCGACCACCAGAAGAAAGAGGAAGGGAGAGAGTAAACAACCTTGTCTGACTCCGGTCCTTACTTGGAATGCATCTGTCAGCTGTCCTCCATGCACTACTTTGCACTGTAGTCCGTCGTATGAGTTCCGGATAATATTGACAATCTTCTCAGGAACTCCGTAGTGTCGAAGAAGTTTCCATAACGTCCTCCTTTCTACACTGTCAAACGCCTTTTCATAATCAATGAAGTTGATGTATAATGATGAGTTCCACTCAACTGATTGTTCGACGATGATCCGTAGTGTTGCAATTAGGTCTGTGCACGACCGATCCTTACGGAATCCAGCTTGTTGATCTCGAAGTTGAGCGTCTACTGCATCCTTCATCCGGTTCAGCAACACTCTGTTGAAGACTTTCCCTGGTATTGACAGTAGTGTAACGCCTCTGTAGTTCTCACATTTGCTCAGATCTCCTTTCTTTGGAATCTCGACGAGGTGCCCTTCTTTCCAGTCCATCGGCACTTGTTCCTCCTCCCAAATCTTTTTGAATAGAAGGTAAAGCATGTTTGTAGTTACTTCGATGTCTGACTTCCGTGCTTAAGCTGGTATGTTGTCGGGTCCTGCTGCTTTCCCGCTCTTGATTTGTCTGACGGCCATTCTAATTTCTTCCGTCGTTGGTGAGTTGACATCTATAGGAAGATCTATGTGTGTTGCTTCGATGTCCGGTGGATTCATTGGAGCCGGCCTATTCAGGAGTTCCTCGAAGTATTCTACCCATCTGTTACGCTGTTGTTGAATTTCTGTGATTGGCTTGCCTTCTTTGTCTTTGACCGGCCTCTCTGGTTTACTGTAATTCCCTGCTAGTTTCTTCGTTGTATCGTAAAGCTGTTTCATATTTCCTTCTCTAGCAGCTTTTTCCGCCGTCGTTGCTAGTTCTTCCACGTATTTCTTCTTGTCGGCTCTAATGCTCCTCTTCACTTGTTTGTTTGCTTCTATGTATTCAGCTTGTGATTGGACTTTCTCTGCTCGTGTTCGGCTGTTGTTTATTGCTGCCTTCTTGTTCTTCCTTTCTTTGATCTTGTCCAGTGTTTCTATAGAGATTCGTTCCTTATGATGATGCTTCTTTAGACCGAGAACCTCTTGACATGTTGAAGTTAATGCTTCTTTGATACCTTTCCAGTTGTCCTCCATAGTAGTTTCTTCTTCTTTCAGTAGATCCTGTAAGGCTTGAAACCTGCTGTTGAGAGCCATCTTGAATTCATTGAGTTTGTCAGTATCTCGAAGGAAGGCTGTATTGAACCTTTGTAGTGCTGTTTGTCCACTTGTCCAGTTCTTCTTTAGCTTCATTTTAAAATTGGCCACAACTAGGTGATGATCTGAAGCTATGGCAGCTCTTCTCCTGGTTCTCACATTTTCCATTGTCCTCCGGAATTTTTTGTTGATGCAGGTATGATCTATCTGGTTCTCTGTAGTGTGGTCCGGTGAGATCCATGTAGTCTTGTGTATACGCTTGTGTGGAAATATTGTGCCTCCTGTGACCAATTTGTTGAATGCACACAGATTTTCAAATCTTTCTCTCTCCCAGTCAATCTATGTCGCCCCATGATATCTTCATATCCGGTGTTGTCTATTCCGACTTTGGCATTTAGATCTCCCATTAGAATGGTGAGGTCGTTTCTTGGGCACTTCTCTATGATTAACTGAAGCCGCTCATAGAATTGATCTTTAATGTCGTCGTTGCTATGATTGGTGGGTGCATAACATTGGATAATACTCATTGTGATCCCCTCCTTCTTTGTTTTGAATGATGCTTTGATGATTCTGGATCCGTGAGATTCCCATCCTACAAGTGCATTTCGTGCTACTTTGGACAGCATTAGAGCAACTCCCAGAGTGTGTAAAGCATTTTCCTCTTCGTGACCGGAGTATAGTAGCATCTCTCCCGTAGCTAGTTTTTTCTCTCCAGCTTAGGTCCAGTGGGTTTCGCTGATTCACAATACTTCCAAGTTGTATCTCCTCATTTCCGTTGCTATTTGACTGGTCTTCCCGGTCTCCCACATTGTTCGGACGTTCCATGTACCTACAAAAAGTTTTGCTATGGTTGTTAGAAGAGGCATCGGCCTCGTGGCTTCCGAAGCAACTCGGCTTTTACCATGAAGCTTTATAATTCTTCTAAATGAAGACCTTCTAACTCCCAGGGCAGAGTTAAAATGGTTTGAATTATTTTTTCTGGTAAGCGCTTTTTTAGCGAGTTAATTTTCTACGGGATGGGGACGCTAACGTCATGCCCAACCCTCCTTCTTTACCCGGGCTTGGGACCGGCAGCAACCCTATAAGAGCTACAGGCGGAGTTACAGTTGTATCTGCAATAATTTAATAAATAAAATAATTAATTGAGATATAGAGAAACGTTTACATCATCTCAAATCTCAGAAGAGTTTTATAATGATCGAGAAGTTGTAGTGGCTGTGCTTCGTTGACCAATCACCCTCCTAACCGTTATCATGTAATCCTCAACGGTGTTTGAAATCAGAAGGCAAAGAGAAGTTAACGACTACAGTTTTATTAGCAGATAGCTCAGACCACAAAGCAGAGAGGCAAATGAATGAGTCAGCGAACCGAGATTATAGTGTTAAATGTACATGTATATATGTAGGGAAAAGAATGGATAATCGAATCAATTAAGCAGTTAATAATAAAGCTAGCCGAGTGAATATATGCATAGGCGGTAAGTAATGTTCAAGCATACATATTTCATATAATCATAACAATAATAAAGGTACAATAAGTTGTTATAGTATAGATGACTTTATCCGCTAAATAAGTTAACAAACAGGCTTAGCTGAATTAAATGAGATGAAACTCAACTGCACGTGAGTTGCTATAACGTTAATGAAAAAAATATCAGATGAAACCTCATGTAATGAATGATAACTGTCCAGTTGATTAGTATGAAAAAGATGAAGAATAAATTAATAATCATAAAGCTGCTAACAAATCATCTAAAATTACAATTATTAATAAGATGTATCAACAATCAATTTACAACTTCATTGAGATATTAGATATAAAGATCATGGTAGGATGAAGACTCTCACATGTTGCTTTAGTGCACATAAGTCAGATATTAGATAATCTGAAATGATGTCTTTTACTGAAAGTGCTTATGTTGAAAGATATATTTTAAAAAAATCGGCTCGTAATTTCACTGTTAAGAACTAGTACTCAGTTTATTGAACAGATTAAATAACGTAATAAACCCATATTATTTTTTCCCAAGTTTAGAAATACCTTAGGTTGTATACCATAGTCTCATCCTTAAGATGTTCTAAAATGTAACATTTTAAACACATGGATCAAAACGTTTTATCTGAAATATTAATCAACAGAATATTATATAATTGAAACTAAAGTGATCGATCAAAGTTTTCCGAATGTCCCAGACAGTCGAACCTTCATTACTGTATATATTTTATTAACATATTTTAAAAGAAAAACTGAGATTCATTTTGTCATTAAATCAATATAAATAGTTGATCTTAAAAAATCGAGCTTAACAAAGAAAATATTTGTAAAGTTGGATACAATGTGTGTTTTTTTCTTTTGACCATTGTGGTACATTCAACTAATTCAGCAAAATTATGTACGTCAAAAGTTACATATCTTAGTTATAGACACCATTATACAGTTTGTTACATGTTTCTACTATTCAGCAGGCGACTAATATTGATTATCGATTATATTAAGGGTAATAAAATTTTGAAGACAATATTAAGTAGCAAAATAGCCTACTCTTATATTATAATTGTGAAATAAAATGACTTATTGAAGATTTTTTTAAAATCTGATCAATATGCTCCTATACATACGTTACATAAATGTATTGGGACAAATAAGTGACTGGCTTGGTTTTTAGTAAAAATAAAACAGGAGAAACGTTTTTTCTTACGGATGAGTTCAGTAGGTCATATGCATACTTTATCTGTAACTTTTCAGGTTCAGATATTAAAATAGATTTTCTGATTTAATTACTTCATTTATTTACAGATTAAATTCATTTTAATAGTTGAGATCATGAGTCAATTGAAGTTAGACCACCATGGAAAACCTTGAAGCACTGGACGACCGTTTCATTTTATTGTGGGACTCCTCAACAGTATGCACCTACGATCGTGCCCACGGGATTTGAACCTAGGACTAATCAGTCTTGCTCGCGAACGCTTAAACACTAGACCACTGAACCGGTTGGCATACAACGGTGTTAATGTCTAGCTCCAACTAATCCACGAAATTGAGCAGCACATCCACCATTGTCTTCAGTGAGTTACTATCTCACAACAGACCCAGTTGAACTCCACTGGTCACTGCTTTTCACTGGAACTCCAGGAAATATCTCTTGAAGCCAGTCACTGATGAGCATATGCTGATTAGTATCAGAGAGTGGTTTTTGTGAATATTATAGTAAGTTTAATAGGTGAGATCATCAGTCAATTGAAACTAGACGACCATAAAAAACCTGGAAGTAAAACAAAAGCATGTGATTGTTAAGATTTCATGAAATGAATTCGGATCATCTATGGTACACATCGAAAGACTGATTATTCATTTTATCTTTAGATTAAATTAACGCAAAAAATACTTCGGAAAACTCAATTCTCTAAAACTGAATACCATTTTATTATGGTCATATATATATATATATATATATATATATATCATTTTAACAAAACAAGAAAAGATTGTATACAGTTGTTTACTTTTCAATTTTTAACTTTATTCTTATTCCCAAAGGGAATAATGTTTGTTTTATAAACTAATTGCTACAACGAACTTTGAATTTGTTGTTGTTTTGTTTTCTTCTTGTCGGTGAATATATTTAGTAATGTCGAATTTCATTAATGTTATTCACTATTTTAAACGTTACAAACAAATTCTGGTGTTTTGTTTTAAACTAAAATTGTTTACACACTGTTATTTTATATGTATGATTATTTGAAATCTTGTTTAAATGTATTTACATCTTATTATGTAATTATGATTTCGATAATTGAAAATTCTAGGTAAAATTTACAAAATAAGTTGTGAAAAGTAATTATATAACATTGTTTAAAGTATTGATATTTGTCCATACATTAGATTTTGAGTTAAATGTTCACATTATGAGGCATAAGTTAGATTATATTGTTATCCATTATCATACTATAAATCATGGTATATTTAAATTCAAACTAAAAATTTGTTGTTTAAAAGTAAAATCATGATTTATGTTGTAGTGGTCGATATTTGATATAATCTTCAAACTTCGTAAACAGTTCTTCCTGATAACCGTTACTAGATAATGTCCACAACGGTGTACAAATCAGAAGTATGAAGTGTTGATTGCTTTTATTATTGTACGACGCACAGATCAATAAAAACACTGACACGCAAAACAAGAATGAAAGGGTAGTGCCGAAAAGCGAGCGAGCGTGCGAGTCAAAATGAACAGGATTAAAATATACATGTATATACATAGGGAAATGAATGAATCATCGAAACAATTAAGCGACTAAGATTAAAGCTAGCAGAATAAATGTGTGCGTAGGCGGTAAGTCCTCAAGGCCAAAGAAGGAGAGGAAGACCAAAGAACACATTACGCCAAGAAACGGCGACAGATATGAGAAGAACTAACAACGATTGGACAGAACTAGAAAGGAAGGCCCAGGACAGAGTGGGTTTGAGAATGATAGTCGGTGGCCTATGCTCGATTAGGAGTAACAGGCGCACGTAAGTAAGTAAGTATGCGGTAAGTAATACTCAAGCATACATAATCATACATAATAAACGTATAATGGTTGTTATTGTACGAATGACTGTCCATTAAATAAGTAAACAAAAAGGCTTAACCAAATTAAATGTGAACAAACTCAATTATACATGAGCTGCTTTAATGTTGAAGATGGTTACCTCTTGGAAATGAAAGTGTGGTTGTATGATATCATGAATTGGTTTAAGTTAAACATGTTCACCATTGTTTTTGGGATCAATAGTTTAGAAGTTAGGTATACGTAGCAAGGTTTAAGGTCCTGGGTTCGATATTCCACATAATTCGTGTTCAAAACAATCACTTCAACACTTTACTTCACACAGGCGTTTCAGATTAAAAATGTAGGTTTATGAGTATAACAGAACTTGTGGGTGAATGAGTATCGAGTCTTAGGGTAGATTATTTCATTACATTGTTTATAAAAATAATGATAATTCATCTATAG